ACCCGATTCGATCACTCACCATCCCATTACCAGAGCACCAATCGTTGTTCACTGCTCGGCCGGAGTTGGCAGGACCGGCTCAATGGTTCTTATCCAGTACATCCTGGAATCCATCTCTTTGGGAGGACCCTTTGAAGAAACTGATAAAGTGCTTCTAAAAATAAGAGCTCAACGAGCCAACACAATTCAGGTGAGTTTATGGTTTCGTATGTGAATGGCATTCAACTAAAATTTGTGCTTGTTTCAGACTGATCAGCAGTACTTGTTCGTCCACATGGTCCTACTCAACTACTTTGTTGAAAATCAACTGCTAGACCCCAGATGGAAGCCATTCCTCGACCGGTTCACGAGAGAGTACAACAAGAATGTCTTCTGAATTCAGATTTCTCTAGTTCACACCTGAGCATTAATGTGATTGATATTAATTCGATCTCTAGCCTTTGAAAAAGCATTGTTTATTTCAATGGATTCAATTTCTTATACATGTAATGATTAAATCAATAAACCGACTGTTGGAATTTGATATGAATTCGTTTTTGTATTACTAGTAGTTCGTAAATGAACATTGTCTGCGTGTGTACTGCAATAAAGCGTACTTGATCTCGATTCCAATGTCCTAAGAAGAAATCGACTATTCGCTGGCTCCATCGTGCTTCGGGTCAGAATCATAATCTGCACTGACTGAGCGCAAAATGGACAAAGTATCAAAGAAGATATCAAGAAACTGTAAGAAAACTAGAAAGGAATTCGTTACCTTCTACAGACACTGCCCCTAGAGGAGGGGGACGAGGATATTGAAAAAAGGCCGATGGTAAGTGACGCTAGGACTGACCCAGAAGACGGGAGAAGCGTCAGGGAAAACACTAATGACTCATAACGGTCCACATTCTCCCACAGAGTACATTCCCTTTCTGAGGCTTAGTCCCAAGCGCTGTAAGTGGATCATCGACTTGAATGTTCCCCAACGACACGAGCGCCCTTCTATAATAGTCAGGTTGGAGCACACACATGGAGCTTAAAAGCAAGCCTCGGGATAAAACTGGGACATGGAGACAGTAGTGATAGATGAGCTGCGGAATGAATTAAAAGTGGAAAAGAAAGCAGTAGAATCATCGGATACGCTAAAATTAAGGCCCCAAGCTCCAGTAAGGTCAAATGTGGTACGACGGCGAGGCAGGAGGCGATCGAAGAAGGACAAAACACGCTC